GTTCGTAACTTAGTATTAGGGGGGGGGGGATGCGCCATAGTGTATGGGCGCTGTACGCAATATAGGCGTAGTTCTGTTAGTATAAGATAATAAGATTTACTTTGTTGATCCAAAATCGGGAAATTGTGTTGTTAAACATTTTTTTTAATTTTTTTTAATTTTTGGCGCCCCCCATTGATTGATGCGCCCTTAGCATTCGCCTATACTGCCTATGCCAAGGGCCGGCCCTGGACACAATGACATGCTGACTGCAGCGGGACTCGAACTTGCTATCCTCTGATTCGAAGTCCAGCACACTACACTAGTGTTGCACGGTGTACCGATACTTGAAAGGTATACCGCGATACCCTGCCGTTAAAAACGTTACTATTCCTCCGTTTCATTAGTATGGTACTTTAAGAATGACGGGGGAAAGTACTGCGGTGAGAAAGCGCTGTTTTAATAAGAGCCGTGTGTGTTCAGCGCTCTGCTTGCACTCCCTGCACTGCAGCCGTGCCTGCAGTCCCTCCCCTGTCAAGCACGCTCTAAGTCCCTCCCCTCTCTCGTGCACGCGCTAGCTGCCAGAGCATGTGAGAAAACGAGAAGCATGGCTGCAAGTGGGAGTGCAACTGCCGCTGCGCCTCGGCTTGTTGACAAAAAAGACGCCAGAAGCGAAAAACTAAAAAGTTGTTTATAGATGATGCTTAATTGTATTTAATACAAATTCTAGTCATTTATTTTATTTATTGTTCTCATTGTTTAAAAGTTTGTGTTATGGTTATGGTTCTGGTGTGAAATAAAGCACAATAATTACATTTAAGACCCTGTTTCCCTTTTCTTAAGAAAAGTATCGAAAAATAATCGGAATCGCAATTCTTGACTTGATATCGGTATCGAAACCAAAATGTTGGTATCGTGACAACACTAGACGAGATTAACCTGAGCAATAACAGTTAATGGAGAGTACGGCAAATACAAGTTGTTACAAGCAGTGGCGCTGAGCAAATCGACTAGAACGTGACCACACACAGTTGTGAAAAAAACACACTTTTAGTCAGGCAACACTAACCAGGCTTAGTGTGATTCTGTTTGATTTTACCTTACTTTAATGACCAACTGTTCGCTGTTATTGATCATTGTGGAGAGCAGGCAGACATTTTCCTGTTGTTTTGTATTATTGCAGCTATCGGATGGAATCAATACATACTGAAACACATTCACTTATGGGGTTGGGGGATATTTATCAGCTGCTTGTGTGACAGTCAGACAGTGAATGCTTTCCAGCCGTCGCTGCCAAGAGTTAACGGTAAACTAAACTCTGCCGTGAGTTAACAGTAGATTAAACTCCGGTGGACGAGCAGCACTGCAGCGGTCGGTAAATGCCGCTGAAACACATTAATAAACAATGAACCACGGCACTCTGGAGAAAAGTATAAGGGTTGAGAAGTAGTTATTTCATTTAATCTGGCTTCGTATTACACGATCATCGACCCGACGCAGTCCTTCGTCGTTGTTGTTGTTGTGAGCGGCGTTTGGGAGAAACGTAAACCGACGTAAACGGTGACTTCATGACGCAGCAGCGGCGGCACCAGTCGGGCTCGGTTGAAACACAAGTGGTGCTACAGAGAAGAACCAGTTCAGCACCAGAAAAGCACAAAAACGAATCTTGAACCGGATCCGGTTGGGTGGAAAAAGGGCATGAGTAACACAACAAATGAATCCGTCTGGAGAGCTATGATGGAGGCTTACTTAAAGCATATTCAAGTATCAAGCATCATTTACCTACATTTCATAACTTAATTTATGAGGCAGTATACCTCACCTCTATAAGTAACCCAGCCCTTCGTATCTTCGGTACGTGACCCTCAGTGAAAACAGTTTGGACACCCCTGGTCTAAAGTGAAAGACAGACCCATGTTTGTGTGTTCATGTGTGTAGCTTTCCTGTATTTGTATCAGATGGCGAACAAAGCAGAATCTGGACTTCAGCTTCCTCATGCTCTACGCTCACGACAAAGGAAGATTCTATGTTCAGGTAGAGTTCGAAGGTCAGATAGTTATTGATGTGCCTCAAATTATATGTAAATACAATTTACATAATGTCGAAATACAACCCAATATTCAGACTGTTAAATGATAAACACTGATGTCAGATGACCATATGCTGTATTCAACTTAACCAAACACAGCTCCTGGTAGTGTTCGTTTGAAACAAACAAATATCCGCCATTGCTCAATATAAAATATCATAAAATACTTTTTCAATGGGGTCATAAATCCATCACAAATATAATTCTGATGCGCACATAGAAACATTTCCTGCTTCAAGCAAATGTAAAAGAAATCCAAATGTACATGTATTTTTAAAATGTTCATCAAAAACACATTTGAATGTTGTTACAACTATTCACAAACTGTTGAGCCTGCATTTAGAAACTGTTAGTCGTGTGTGTACTTCCATTCTATTTTAGCCAATCAGATGAGTGTGCCACTACGCGGCATGATTTATTACGCTATGCCAAGGAATGGAAGGGAACCAAGGGAATCCCAAGAAACAAGTCAGACAGCTGTTTTGGTAAAAATGAGTTTCACATATTTCTGTCTTGTGCAGTGCTGAAACTATCAAACGAAGGCATAGAAGTCCGTAAAGCTACCCAAAAGAATGCAGACGAATGCAACAGCAACTGGATTGAAGATCACATCCGTTCACCAACTTGGAAAATGAAGCATGGAGATTGGATGAAATGCAGGTGACACAAGACAATCCACGCCAAAGACCTCATCTGACCTCCTAGAAGCTGCAGCGCCGGGATGGGGGCTAAGCTAGCTAGGATCCACTACCCAGCATACCCCTGGCTGATATCCGTTCGCAGGAAAATAAGACTAACGCTAAACCTGCAGACAAAACATTTAATTTTAATGTCAAGACTGTAAGCCAAGGCGTGTGTTCTTTAACTTTAGCTAGTAAGTTAGCTACATTCTAATTTACCTCAGCTGAAGTCAAATGGTAACAAGCACCTGGGTGCCGGCGTCTCTTCTTCCACGTTGTGGATGTAGCCTTCAATCAAGTTGCTGTATCCCTTTGTTTGAATTATTTTGGGGATCTTTGCAGACTTATCTGCCCACGTTTGATTATTTCAGCACTGGTGGTCACAAAACCTTTTGGACCAATATGCCAAAGCTATCTCACTGAGCAGTTTGTGAGGGATTCCTTTCAATCTGGTTTCCAGGTTCCGAACCAGAGTATCCGCATGCTGGAATTATCCAACTAGCTATCTAATAAGCTAGACGCTAAATTAGTAAAACGTCATTCTTTATCCAACCACTTTTGTCACAGCGTAGGAAAGCACATTGGTGTCACAGCACAGCGCCCTGCACCTTTCTATGGATTTGAATGTAAGGCCTCCAACTAGCTTTGCCATTTTAACTAATACCCTTGAAGCGCTCATGTGATAAAAAGTAATTTGCGAATAGCACAACTTCTGGGGAGTGTCAAAGTTTACAACAACATGCAAATACTGTTAAATACATATACTTCACCATTTATATTACATTTATTGAAAATAGTGAAGATTTTTGTCTATCGGAAATATATTTGTGAACCGTATTTTCAAACCCTGTATATACACTGCATGCACAATAATTAGGCAAGTTGTGCTTTGAGGATCATTTTATGATTGAACAACTAGAGTGCTCTTGGTCAATGCAAAATGTAATTTAAGTAAAAGTGAGGTTTTGGCTTTCTAAGGAGAAAATCTATGTGTGCACAATTATTGGGCAACTATTAGTGTTCAGAATTATTATGCAATTAGAGGAACAACGAAAATGTTCCCATCTCACTAGTTTGTTCTCATCTGTTAAAGTGAGAATAATAAACAAACAGCTCAAAATGTACAAATAAACATTTCTGAGATTTAAAAAAAATACTCACTTGCCTAATAATTGTGCACACATATACAATAATTACCAATTATTGTGTTAATCGAAGCGGCAATAGAAGCATTTATGTTTAAATCGCAAAAGACATTTATGAATCTTTGCAAGTGCATCCACTAATAATAATATGAAGTCTGATTTGACTTAATAATTCTCTGCCACAGAGAGTGGTTTGACTGCAGGCTTGAAATGAATGTAAAGGTTTAATGATGTGGCGTAGTCACTCTTTCAAACGTTCTCGTGTCCTGTGTGTTGCAGTTAGAGGATGATGTTGTTGCGAAGGCCGGCTACTTCAACAACATGAAGACCTTCGCCACCCTGAATGATTCCAAGCAATGGCTCTTCCTGGAATTTTCCCAGCTCGGATTTATAGGTGTGTCTGTGTGTTTGTCTGTGTGTCTTAGCATTCAAGTGGGAAGGCGTTCCACATATTGAGCCTTGTTTTGTGTGTGTGTCTGTCTGTCTGTCTGTCTGTCTGTCTGTCTGTCTGTCTGTCTGTCTGTCTGTCTGTCTCACTCACTCATCCTTTAGGCAAGATGTTTCGAACCGGTGACCTCCCGATGATTACGGAGTTCTTCCTGATGTTCCACAAAGACAAACCAGTCGACTGGCTGTTGGATCACATCCTGTGGGTGAAAGCTTGCAACCCAGAGAAAGATGCAGTAAGTCAGTTGTGAGAACCAGCTCATGATGAAGCATACAGGATATTTTTGTTTGTTATGAAGTTGTTCTCTTATCTCCACTCTGCTCGTCTTGATGTATACATTAGGTTTCATCCTTGTTTGTATTCCGGCCAACGATTGTAGTGCCTCTTCCATACTTTGCTTTAGGTTTTTTATTTTCTAGGGCTGCAGTCATGGGTGTACAGCGTGAACAGGGCCTAGCTTTTGGTTTAACTTCTTCAGTTTCAAAGGGGAGATTGTGTTGAGAGCTGAGCTGAAATCAACCCACCTCATTGTGAAATAGGTGTAGAGCAGGGGTGTCAAACTCAAGGCTCGGGGGCCAAACCCGGGCCGCGACTTCATTTCATGTGGCCCCACAAGAGCTTGCAAAGAACATAATATGTTTATTATACGATTACATGCCGCTTTGCAGAAGCACATTGCCCATAAACTACATGTCCCACAATGCATCTCAAATTAGATTTTTTTTCTCGGAATTTGACTTTTTTTTTTAAATGTTACTTTTTTTTCAAAATGTCAATCTTTTTTTTTTCTTCAGAATTTGGCTTTTCTTTTTAAATCATTTTGTGACATGCGCACTGAAGAGACTTGCAATTGTTTGCCCTAGACTTCTGCTTTCAGACGTAGTTAATTATGAAGTTATTACCCTATCCGATAATAATCCAATTCAGAGGCAATAATGTAATATAATACATTATTTTATATATATTATATATTTATATATGTATATTTATATAGTTACAACCGGCCCTTTGAGTGCAACCATAATGCTAATGTGGCCCGCGATGAAATTGAGTTTGACACCCCTGATTTACACACATTGCCTCCAGCTGATACCCTTCCTCCTCAGGTCAGTCATCACCCACCAGCTGCTGCCCACCATGTGACCTCACAGCGGGGGTGGACCCTCTGGCAGCATATCACTATTGATAGCAAGTTCCGCGGGAAATATATCTCTGTCATGCCATTAGGTAAGAGACAAGGACCTTCACTCAGTTCATGATGGCAACTACAATCCCATAAAAACACATTCATATACACAACAATTCACAATTTTGTATTTGTTGCATCATTTTCATTTTCAAAAACTCATGAACACT